GAGGACCAGATGGGAGGTTGGGAGCCTGGGAGGCTAACTCCTTACAACAGGGAGGACCGGATGGGAGGTTTGGAGCCTGGCAGGCTAACTCCTTACAACAGAGAGGACCGGATGGGAAGTTGGGAGCCTGGGAGGCTAACTCCTTACAACAGGGAGGACCGGATGGGAGGTTTGGAGCCTGGGAGGCTAACTCCTTACAACAGGGAGGACTGGATGGGAGGTTGGGAGGTTGGGAGCCTGGGAGGCTATAACTCCTTACAACAGGAAGGACTGGATGGGAAGCTGGGAGGCTAATGTTGTTCCCCCACAGTGACGCGTGAACTTACGGCAGTGTACACAAGCTTTGCTCTCTCGACATGCGCCCAGTTCGCTTTGTCGTCCAGGTGCGCCTTAGTGAAGCAGTTAGCCGAAGCTAGGTTCGCGACCAACGACCTACGAGAGACAGAGAGAGAGAAACTGTATACGCTGTATATTTTGCGGTTTAATTTTCGCAAATTTCGTGAACGCGTCCCCGACCGCGAAAATAACAACACGCGAATAAGTCATACTGAATAATTCATAATTCACCGACCGCAAAATTAACCACTCGCGAAATTGTCCGTCAAGTCTGAATTCGCAAAAATATCTGTACGCGAAAAATATGGTGCATACAGTAGATGCGTCAAAGGCCGTGATCATGCAATCATGCATAACACTCCGGTTTTAACGTAGATCTCTTCCAGATCAGTTGATCGAGGTGAAATGATGATAGCGATTTAATCCCAACGTTTTAGCAACAATTTAATAGCAACAAACGATAACGGGGCAACCGAACTTCTTGACGAGACTGGTCAGGGATAAACGCATACATCACAAATAAGACGCACGCGGCTGAATCGTCGCATCAACGCCCCATTTCCCGTCTCGTGCTCGCTTTCGCGCCACGAACTGTCAACAGGTGTATCTGAATCTACTGGACATTCGCTGGCGCCACCTGTTATTGCCGGTGGCGCCACCTGTTATTGCCGGTGGCGCTACCTGTTATTGCCGGTGGCGCCACCTGTTATTGCCGGTGGCGCCACCTGTTATTGCCGGTGGCGCTACCTGTTATTGCCGGTGATGCAGACTGCGCATGTTCCCGTGGGTTCGCTGTTGCTGCCGTTGATCTGGTAGACGGTTTTCACGCTCCCTTCCTTCATCGCCTTGGTCATGATGTCGCCGTGTCTGTCCTTGGCTATACAGCCGAAGAAGAGGGTCGCAAACTCCGGCGAGCCGGTCATCCACTGCAACGACAGATTCATTTTTTTTAAATTTTTTTTAAATTTTGCACTTTTCATTCATTTGTACAGATAATTTCAGATAGTAGTAAAAAGGGAGAGAAATAAATAATATTATAGAATCGATAGGTTTAAGGTGAATGTGCGTAGTGGTCAAAGTAGCAATAAGCTTTCGAGTTGACCACTAAGACACACGCGAGAGAGAGACCAACGTAAAGCTAAGACCACCTCTGTATAAAGGACGCTTGGCGTTTCCTCTGACCGATCCTTAATATGCATGTTTGACTGCATAACACCCAATTTCCACATACACCGCTAAAAAACCGATGGATACACTTTCCTAGAACTAAGAAAAATTAATAATCAACCGCCTTGAAAGGACCTGACCCATGTCGTGAGATGCACACCCATCTACAATAATTATTACTTTTGTGTACTATTACTACTCACTATTACAGTTGCAATTAGGCCATCCTTAAAAAATTCTATGTTTGCTGTCCCCCGACCCATGATTTTTTTAGTGGGTAGGTATAGGTAGGTCTTCTTTTTTTGTGTGAGGCATAATAGTTATTTTAAGTCTGTCCTCATGTTTGCCACACATGCTTTGTGTTTCAGTCTTACCTATGAGGAATGTAAAAAGAAAAGAAAAAAAGTGGAACCCAAAATGTAAAAAAAAACTTTTGGGTCGAGGCTATTTTCGTGGGTCGGTCGGAGGACAGCAAACATATAATTTTTTAAGGATGGCCTAATTAGTTATGTGCACTAGTTGTGTAGAGTATTGCTAGGCGTGCTGCCCTCTATATCAATGTAACAACACCAACCTGTGCAGTCCTCAGTGTGTTCTGAGTGGCGCCCCCTGGTGTGAACTCCACCTCTGTAAATTGGTGCATGTCCTCAAAGCTAGAAACACAATCACAATTATTGTCCCTCACTGTTCAAATCTTAATTAAATTGATCATCGTCATTATCACAGGGGTAGAAATTAACTTTTGAACACGGGAGTCCAACCCTCAAAAAGAGGGAGTCCGCAGCAAAATGAAGGAGTCCACAGTCGGAGGTTCAAAATTTAACATATTAACAATAACGCATGTGCTTATTACCTCCGCCAGGGGCGTGGCGGAGGTTATGTTTTCACCGGCGAATGTTTGAGTGTTGGTTGGTTTGTTTGTGAACATGCACGTTTCAGTTCACTTGCGCTAGGTGCGCTGGGCGCTGGCTGTAGACTTACAAACACGCAACCACAGGCTAAGGGGCAACCACAGTCCTCCCCCACCTGCACGCTTGCACTAATCCGGATCCAATTAATTAATTATTTAATTAATTAATTAATTAATTAATTTTTCCACTTAATTAATTAATTAATTAATTTTTCCACTTAATTAATTAATTAATAAATAAAATATTCCACATTGAGAGAATTCAGCTGCCTTGGCGGAGGTCTGTGCTCTCCGAGTGCTCTAGTTTTTAAGATTCATGCGGTTGCACGTCTGCCAAATTTTCTTTGCACATTAGCTGAAAAAATACGGTAATTCCGCGAGGCCGTGCTCCGGAACGAAGTAGCATGGCAGAATTTTCAGGGAGTCACACGAACTCCTGCACATGTCAAATCAGGGAGTCCGACATTAAATCAGGGAGTATTTGACTCTGGACTCCCGTTAATTTCGCACCCTGTCATCATTGTCATTGTCATTATTATTATTAGACTTCTAGTACAGGGGACATAAACCATGGCTTTGAGGTTTGGACATAGGAAGGAGGATGCACACAAGGATGGACACGCCCGTACGTCGGCCTCGTCACAACAAATTACATTGTGCAGAGGGGAGCGAGGAGAAAGGGTAGACCATAATAAACATATTGTTTGTTTGCCCTCACCCGACCGACCCGCCAAAAAAGGGCCCACTCAATATTTTTCCATTGATCTTTCCCTTTTTTTTTGCAAATTGTATCACTGTACATTATATAAATCTGTAGGTAATACATTATATGTACCAAGCAAAACAAACATTCAACATAAAAGGTATCTCCACAGAAGCACACCCGAACATGTAGACACCATGCTGAATTTGTAAAAAGACCCCCCTCAAAAAAAGAAGAAGCCTACCTACCTACCCACACCTTTCAGCCTGGGTCAGGAGAGAGCAAACAAAGATTTTTTTAATTGTGGCCTTAGTGCAAAGGTCAATGCCACCGCCAGAGTTACGAAGCTAAAATATGTGAGCTACTTACATGTCCTTATGCTTTGCATCAGCAAGTATCGCATTGTCCGGCAGCAATTCATACCTAGGAGAAAAACAGCGTGTACCGTATATCCTTAAAGTTTGACCCACATCTAAGTAGACAGCTATCAGGAGTACGTGTCATAATATGACACTCCTGCATTATATGACACATGACACATGTCTATAATATGACACTCAGGTGACACATGACACACGTCTATAATATGACACTCAGGTGACACATGACACACGTCTATATTATGACACTCAGGTGACACATGACACGTACACGTCTATATTATGACACTCAGGTGACACATGACACTCAGGTGACACATGACACTCAGGTGACACATGACACATGTCTATAATATGATACTCCAGCAGAACTTTATATAAATCTGTCGCAGAGAGTGCACATCTGATCCCGCACTAAACTTGCACACCAGGTGGCGTCATTGCGCGTCACGAGCCGCCAAGACGACCCACGATACACTCACTTGTCTAGGAATTCCTTTGTGACGACAGCGGCAACGTCTAGCAGTGGGTTTCCCATGCCCAGCAGCATGCCTTCACTGAAACCGAAGAGCGGACGTTCGATATCAGATGGGTTATACGAAACACGACGAGGGATTGGGACATGGACCGCGCGGCACAAACCTATACAACACGTACCCTTCAACCTGCTTCTCCATAGAGCTCGGGCGTGGTCGCGTAACAAACACTATCAGTCCTACTGTGAGTAATAACGCAGCGGGGTCATAAAACATGTAAACGTCCCGTCGGAATGACCGATCAGACGTCAATCGTCTACGAGGGAGCACGGCGGTTTATCTATATGTGTTAGGTGCATCAGGAAGGGGTGTTGAAGCACCAACTCCAGCGTACTGCGCATGACCTGGTACCAACTAGCATTCGCACCGAGCGAGTAACGCAACCGTGACTGCACATCTCCCCACGACGAGCGACATCACGTGTGAGAGCAAGCTAAGGGAGGGAGGGAGGAAGCACCCTTATCAGTGTTTCCCTTGCATTGACACGAGCGAGGCGGGCTGCCGAATTCTCAGCCGCCACACAGAAATTTATCTAAAACACTGCCTCGCTGATGAAAATCGCATACAGTGTGTTCAGCACAGCTCAGAATGCACCAAATTGCGCCATTTTTCCAAAAATTTTGTCTGCTGTGCTCGCTTTGTTAGAACCTCTAAACGCTCAAACACACACACACACAAAATATTTTCCACCTCACTGACAGTTTTGGCCAGAAGAAACACTGCTTATAATAGCAATAGCATGCCGACGATCATATCTACACCATAGCGTGGAAAGCATCGAGATTATCAGTAGATTTTTGTTGCCGTACTATCTGTTTACATCATAGCGTCTGCGATCCAGGGTAAAAGCCTTCAGAGGTTTCTTGCTGTAGCCAGAGTCAGATAACAGGAGGCAAAGTGCAAAAGTGACGCGCGCTGAAAAGCACATCTCTGACCGAGGTCAACGAGAAACTGAATGGAAAATATCTCCACCTCACAGTCTCACGAAGCCATTTAGTTTATCGCTGCCACGGAGTGTTTGCACTATGCCACGTGCATACCTAATATTACATTAGTCATGTCCCGATGATCGATCGAAAGTCAGTCGTTTGCAGCAAAGGACTAAGCGCTCAATTATGAAATCAAATATTCGATTATCAAATATAATCAAATATAATACTGTTACATGATACATGCGCTCACGCACTTATGCCCTTACGTTCGCAGGTGTGTACGTATTTACGCTGATAGAGTCTATGTTCCCCAGGGTACTGCCGGAACGTACCCTGGGTACGGTCCGGTATACCGGAACGTACCCTGATAACTATCTAGCTGATATGGTTCTAGGATTAGGGTTAGGGTTAGGAAGTAGGCGTAGGCGACTCCCTAGACTCGTTAGTGGAGTAGGCGAGGTACGGTCCGGCATATTAGATAGTAGTATTTAGTACCAGGGTACGGTCCGGTAACCCAGGGTACGTTCCGGCAGTACCCTGGGGGACATAGACCCTATCAGCCGTATTTACGCATGCATGCACTTACGCACGCAGGCACGTACGTATTCACGCATGCATGCATGCAAGTACTTACAAATTCTTTTCATTCTACAAGCTGGGACAGCCTTTTGCAATATCAGCTGTATCTGTAGATCTATCAGCAGTACGGATAAAACCAGTTCATTCAGGATCAAGCCGGCATCAATATGATTACCAAGCATGTATTAGACTGGATACTGGGCAGATATACGATATGCCCATATACTGTGTAAGTGTAACAGAGCTGTATTTCATTTGTGCGCGGCTCACAAGGGGAGGGGGGACTTATGATTGGTGTGAAGTGGTGAAAAGTGGAAGTGAACAAGTACTACAATGTACATATATGTATTTATATATAAGTGTGCTTGCCATACACACATTTTGTGCATTTATCCTTTGTACATATCTAATCACATATTTGACAGGGCCATAGCAGGTGCAAGGGGGAGGGGCAGAAATGTACATAAATCTGTAAATTACATGAACATTGAATGGTAGTCACGTGTCCAGAACACACCATGCACGTGGCTATGACCTCTCCCGTACGTAAAATGGGTGGGCAGTGTGTTAGATCCTGCACACAACCTATCTATTAAACTGTGCCACTTGCTAACCTCAAACAACCTTAATTACCTGAAGAAGTGCCTGGGCTTCAATGTTAGAATAAAGTAGTCAGGTAAAAACAGATTTACTTAACATTTTTACCAAATAAGTTCACACTTATGCACCAAATCCAGTTTTCCTCCATCATGCTGTCAGATGTGATTTTTGGAATGTGAATGAAGCTGTTGGTCACAAGAAACGATGTCTGAAATCTCTCTTAAATGTGCATCTAGGTTCAAAGTTGCATAAAAATGCTAAGCTAACACAAATACTTTCCTCTACAATGAAAGCCCTTCCATTTATGCAGAAAATGCTGCATGGTGCAATGTGGAGGTAGCATTCCTTGATCAATCCTAGTTTGGGACCTCGACATAATATATATAGTTCGCATACGTGCCAAACTAGTTAGTTCAGAGAGCTAAACTAGGATTCGGCCACATTCTTCATCAGGTGGGCTGTGTGCAGGATGAAAACAGTACCAAAATGTGGGTTATCTACGCTCTATGATATGTATATATGTTTGATCTATGTATTGTTTTTATAACGTATGCAATGACAAACTAAAATCATGTTAAGTGGCAGTGGAAAAAATACACGGGGGCGGCAGGCGATTTCTCCCCCGAAATGCCAAAAAGAGCCCCCGAAAACATGATATCGAGGGCGACCCCCCCCCCAAAAAAGACGCCCTGGAAATTGATTGTCCAGGTCGGTCCCGCGCCTTGCCGCTCTCGCTCGGCGTTGCTGCGCTGCGATGCCTAGGCCTCTGCCGCTAGCTGCAGCCGGTTGCACGGCGCGGTAGAATTCATGGTACGGTGTGACTGTCGAGTGTTTACCATTTAAGCATGCATGTGTGTACTGTACTGTATTGCATTCAATCAAGCGCGCGCCGCCGCCCGTGCGTATATACGTGTGTGCCTGTGCGCGTGCTTGCGTGTGTGCCTGCGCGCGTACATGTGTGCGCGTGCGTGCGTGCTTGCGTGTGTGCCTGCATGTGTGCATGCGTGTGTGCGTGCGTGCTTGCGTGTGTGCCTGCATGCATGCGTGTGTGCGCGTGTGCCTGCGCGCGTGCGTGCCCCTAACCATATTAGATAGTTACCAGAGTACGTTCTGGTATACCGGACCGTACCCAGGGTACGTTCCGGCAGTACCCTGGAAGACATATAGACCCTATGAGTATGAGTATGAGTATGAGCCTCAGTGACAGTGGCAGCTCTGGTGTCAAGCGAACATGTATACCGTGTTAGCACTGTTAGACGTGTTGCTACTGCTAGTGATACAGTCAAGTCAACTCTCCAAATTCCGAACGTCTTCAAAACCAAACCTCACTTTAAACCTGACGACATTCTTAAGACCACCACAACTATCTGAGACATGTAAGATGCACCACGCCCTAGTTACTAGTATAAACCGAACTGAATAATGGACAGTCCCGAATCACTGGACTCAGGACTGTACAACAACATTCGACAGTCAATGACGATCAATGCATCGACGAGACATCGTCACGCCGCTAGTGTGGATATAAATGAGACTACACTCCTATGCAAACACATAAGTGACAAAATAAATTAACGACAAAAGAGAGATGCGTCTATATATTACCTTATTGTTTGATCTTCGCGCATCTTCTTCGTATTTGGTTCACCACTTGCCATGCTGTCCCAACAAGTACGACTTGACCGCCATCTAGCGAGACGACTGAGTATTTTTATTGCCACCACTGGCACAATTCTCGTCTTAGTTATTATTACAGTATTATTAAATATTTATTCCATGTACAATTCAAATACATGTACTGAAGACCGTCTTTTTTATGGAGAAAAACCTCTCATAAATGCATTAGTGTTGATCGAGCAGTTAAAATAATAACATTTCTGAGTGATACCGTACAAAACACCCAAAACAGCACTATACAACATGAAGAATAAAAATTATACAAAAGCGACAGTACATTTTGTACAAGTAAAGCTTACGTACAAAGTAACTACTTCACGCGCACATTCAGAATACATCATAATGGATTCATTGTTCTCCTATCTGCTATGTTGTTAAAATTGTATGCCAAAATTGATGTGATTTGTGTTGATAAAATATCAGGATTGAATAATACTAGATCCATAGCTACGTCTACACGACGAACCTTAACTCCAGTTAAGCGTCTACACGGGGCTTTAACTCGAGTTAGCGTTAACTCGAGTTAAGGCCCGTGTAGACGCTTAATTAACTCGAGTTAGCTTAACCTCCACGATAGGCGGCAGCACTAGTACGATGTACGTACACACGCACGGACGCACGCGTACTTACACACGCACCGTGACGCACGCACACACTCATGCACGCACGCACGCACGTGTACGTGCACACGCACACACTCATGCACGCACGCACGCACGTGTACGTGCACACGCACGCACGCACTTGTACCTCAACACACACGCACGCACGCACGCACGCACTTGTACCTGCACACACACGCACGCACACACGCACGTGTACACACACGGACGCACGCACGCACGTGTACGTGCACACGCACGCACATGTACGCACTCACGCATGCACGCACGTGCACACGCACGCACGCACGCGCGCACGTACGAACGCGTACCTGCGCACGCGCGCACGCACGTGTACTTGCACACGCACGCACACACTCATGCACGCACGTGTACGTCCACATGCACGCACGCACACATACGAACGCACGTGTACGTCCACATGCACGCACGCACACATACGAACGCACGTGTACGTGCACACGCACGCACGCACGCACACACGCACGTATACGTGCACACGCACACAGGCACGTATACGTGCACACGCACGCACGCACGTATACGTGCACACGCACACACGCACGTATACGTGCACACGCACACACGCACGTATACGTGCACACGCACACACGCACGCACGTATACGTGTACACGCACACACGTACGCACGTATACGTGCACACGCACACACGCACGCACGCACGTATACGTGCACACGCACACACGCACGCACGTATACGTGTACACGCACACACGTACGCACGTATACGTGCACACGCACACACGTATACGTGCACACGCACACACGTATACGTGCACACGCACACACGTATACGTGCACACGCACACACGTATACGTGCACACGCACACACGCACGTATACGTGCACACGCACACACGCACGTATACGTGCACACGCACACACGCACGTATACGTGAACACGCACACACACATGCACGCACGCACGCACGCACGCACGCACGTATACGTGCACACGCACGCACGCACGCACGTATACGTGCACACGCACGCACGCACGCACGTATACGTGCACACGCACGCACGTATACGTGCACACGCACGCACGCACGCACGTATACGTGCACACGCACGCACGTATACGTGCACACGCACGCACGCACGCACGCACGCATAATAAATCGGTAATAATCGCTATTGGGTGTTGTCGTGTAGACGCTACATAATCGCCAACTCGAGTATTCAATCCTGATATTATCTTGCAATTATTGATTGCAATAACCACAGTTTTCAACAATCCCTCTTTTCCTTTGCTTACTACATAGTTCCTAAGTTAGCTTCGCTCATGCTATACAGAAAGGCTAGCAACTTTAAATTAAACTCAATAACAAAATTAACCATGAAAACGATTAAATCATGTATTAATTCAAGAGAAAACAGCAGATCTGTGACAGAACTAATGAGTTTTATTTATCAGAATTTGGGGATGGATTCACGACACGGCAAGAAACGAGAACACCTAAAAAGCAACAGATCTGAACGTAACCAGACAACACAAGAATGCCACAATTTCTTGGTGGCTTTTAAACAAAATTTGTAGCATGTTGTTTTTTAACGCTTGCGAGTTTATTGGCAATGTTTATGACTAACGGACTACACAGCCCTTCCTTTTCCACTTGCAGCCACTACACCATAAGTCCCCCACACCCAAGCAGTGTCCTGGATCTCTGCCACCATCCCCTCACATATTCAAGTACTAGAACATTCAGCTGCTAGTGTATAAAAATAATGAAAACTTCACCGAGTCATGTATAGAGTGTCTGTGCATGCTAAATTATCAGAACTGCTCTACGTATATGAGATGGCTTCCCTGGCGCTGTAGGTATGCACCACAACCACGGAATGTATACATACAGGTAGTGAGTGAGCTTTGTATCAAGTACTGTCATTAGTGGCCCTGTGACAGGAATGCACCGGGTAGCAGTAGTGAGTGAGTAAGCCAATAAAATAAGTCTAGCAGTTATTCCTGGCTAGATCCAGACAGCCACCGGTGCTCCGGTCAATTGAAAACAACAACAGTGCGGGCAAAGCTACAAGAACTAACAGTAGTAGTAGTAGTAGTGGTATGAAGCACCTTCCTATCATAATTAACACAGTACGAATGTAACATTTGTCACGTTAGACAAAGCTATGGCATGATCATCAAGGAGACACCAAGGTCAGGCATCCTCCTCTTTGACCATTAACCCTTTATCTGCCAGTAACCGGCATCATGATTGTAAACTCTCTAAATAGGACAAAGCACAAAGACAAGGTGGTGGTGAAGGATGAACGAACAGACGTAGTTACCCGAGTCGTACTGCACACACACCCAGCGAGCCAGCAACAAATCGAGAACACGTCAATTCACACTAGTAGTGACACGCGATCGTTTGAACTACAAGTGTTTCAAATTTCCACAGAGTGAACAAACAATGCACTTAGTACTATGCCTCTAACGTCCAAGTACACCGCCATAGCGCCGCTTTCCAGCAGTGTGAACCATGATGACAGCAACACGATAGATAGCAGACGACGTCACTGCTTAGAGCTGGCCGGATTCAGCAACAATGATCTTCTTGCTGGTTTTTCCACTCTGAGACCCATAGCTCTCACACTTCTTGATTACGTCCATGCCATCGAGGACCTTGCCAAAGACGACGTGCTTTCCATCCAGCCTGTAAACACAATCCCATTGATGTAGATCACTGTATGTACGCATAAGGCTGCGTTTACACGATCGATTTTTGTCAGCAAATCGTCCGAGTCGTGCAAGATAGAACACGTTCTATTTCTCCAACTCGGCGACTTGACTCCGACGCAATCGAATTTCAGCCGATTAATTGGAATGTACTCGGGTCAAGTCGGGGGCAAGTTGGAATGCACTTGAAATCGGTACGATTTGCTGACCAAAAAACGAGTGTAAACGCAGCTTAACAGCGACGGCAGATCAGCATTTGTCAACAGATGACAAAAAGGCGATATTTGTTACTGCACAGCTGTGCCCATCCGGATTCCCATGCCAATCACAGAGCATGAAATTAGCCAAAATGTTAACGGGTCCACGAATATAGTTTTCATAGTTCCATGCTTAGCTAAAAGTATTAGCTTTGTATTTATTAGGCATACTCATGTTATTTCAGTGTATCAGTAGAGTTCTACTTGTTTGACAGGAATTGCTGGAACATGATTTACTTCTTAGTAGTCACTAAGTAAAAACTAGTCAGGAAATTGGTAAATATTGTTGATATAAAGGCAAGATAGGCAAAATTTTGAATAGACCAAGTTGAAGTGGACTGATTATATGGGGGGTGGAACCGACAGCAGCCGGCAAAATACCGCCAATTTAGCACGCTGCAATAGACTACTCACCACTCGGTCTTCACAGTGCAGATGAAGAACTGTGAACCATTTGTGTTGGGACCTGCGTTAGCCATCGACAGAGTTCCTGTGTAAGAAATAAACAATACAGAAAAACACTATTATTACATATCTGATCACTGCTAGATTACTGGGACAGCCATCGAGAGAAATGCATGTAAAACAATCACTTAAGCTGGGTTTACACTACCGACTTTATGTTGGCGAATTGGACCAATTTCGCAATTCGACAACTTCGAGTTGGCGAAAATAGAACATGTTCTAACCTCCCAACTAGTTGCCATCGATCGGTTGGTAGCACAACTTTTGCGTTTTCACTGCCGATTGTCGGCTGTAGTTGGGATGTTGGTCCAATTTGCCAACGCAAAGTTGGTAGCGTAAACCCAGCTTTACATTAGAGACCTGATCAGGAGTTGTGGTCGTCAACGAGAGCAGGCAAAGTGTCAGTCTGAACCGCGTGAAGAACAGGAGAACCGTGTAAACCGGATTCGTAGCGCCAGCCATACGACAATCGCTATAGCGTCCGGGAGATTTACTTTTCACAGATAGGGAACGCCAGTATAACCACGATTGCAATGCTAGACTGGAGCTAGACTGTGACGACGAGCAACACCAAGAACAACCGACACACACGCGACGCATGATGGTAGTTTTCTACTCCAAGGTGCGAAATTAGCGTGAGTCCGGAGTCAAATACTATACACTGATTTATTGTCGGACTCCGTAATTGGACATATGCAGGAGTCTGTGTGACTCTCTGAAAATTCTGCTATACTAACTGGTTCGTTCCAGAGCACGGCGTATTTTTTATTTATATTTAACATTCCGTATTTTTTCAGCAAATGTCCAAAGACAATTTGGCAGACATGAAACCGCATGAATCTTCAAAATAAGCACACGCGTTATTGTTAATATATCTTTAGTTTTGAACTTCACACTACAGACTCCCTCATTGTGAGGGTAGGGAGTCCGTTGGACTCCCTTGCTCAAAAGTTAATTTCTCCCCCTGCTACGGATCGCTTACCAGGCTGAACGTGCTTCAGCTTGAAGTTCTCATCGGGGAACTTGGCTCCGTAAATGCTCTTGCCTCCAGTGCCGTTGTGGTTTGTGAAGTCGCCACCCTGGCACATGAAGTTGGGGATCACGCGATGGAATGTCGATCCACTGTAGCCAAACCCCTTCTCACCGGTGCACAGAGCCCTGAAGTTCTCTGCCGGAAAAAAAACATCACCATCCATGTAATCACTTCCGAATATTATACAGGGCATGAAATTAGCGAAAATAGAACATGTTCTAACCTCCCAACTAGTTGCCATCGATCGGTTGGTAGCACAACTTTTGCGTGTAGTTGGAAGTTGGTAGCGCAAACCCCGCTTTACATTAGACCTGATCAGGAGATGTGGTCGCCAACGAGAGCAGGCGAAGTGTCAGTCTGAACCGCGTGAAGAACAGGAGAACCGTGTAAACCGAATTCGTAGCGCCAGCCTTACGACAATCGCTATAGCGTCCGGGAGATTTACTTTTCACAGATAGGGAACGCCAGTATAGCCACGATTGCAATGCTAGACTGGAGCTAGACTGTGACGCGACGAGCAACACTAAGAACAACCGACACACACGCGACGCATGATGGTAGTTTTCTACTCCAAGGTGCGAAATTAGCACTAACCCCTTCTCACCGGTGCACAGAGCCCTGAAGTTCTCTGCCGGAAAAAAACATCACCATCCATGTAATCACTTCCGAATATTATACAGGGCATGAAATTAGCGAAAATGTGAACAGGCCCACCCAACATTTTAAACAGGCCCTTACAAGATATTATTATCCCGACATTAATTGCTTGCTATGGGCTATGTATGAGCCACGAGTTGATGTTTACACCGAACAATATAGGAATATAGGAAGTATAATGCAGCAATTTAACTACAAAAGTAAAAAGTGGGAATATTTTTGTTAGTTCGACTATTTACGGTGACGTAATCACTTTAATAAAAGTATTAGCTTTGTGTTGATTAATATTAGGCATACTCATAGTATTTCAGTATTTCATTGCTATCAGTGGAGTTCTACTTGTTTGACAAGAATTGCTGGAACATGATCTACTTCTTCGTAGTCGCTAAGTAAAAACTAGTCAGGAAATTGGTAAATATTGTTGATGTAACGACAAGATAAGCAAAATGGACCGATTATATGGGAGGTTGAACCGGCGGTTTAGGGGGTTGAACCGCTGGCTGCCGGCAAAATAGCGCTAATTTCGCGCACTGCGAACATGTAGCAGAAAAAGTTCGCACACGTGTCATCCTCAGCTTTCTAATTACAGATACCGAGATAAATGCTAGCAAAAAACCACAGTCACAACCACAGTCTGGCTAACGAAATCGATGCGACACCCAATATAGAAGCAGATGTGGAAACTGTAGCAGTGCAACACTGGTACACAGCATACTGCTACTAATAGACCCGCTGGGATGACAGGCACCCAGTATCACTTCCACCTCCCATGTGCAACTGTTTTCTGATGGAAAACTCGTGGAAGAATATCGACTAATACAGTTCAGCGTTCCAGTATCACTTCCGCCTCCTCGTGCGCAACTGTTTTTTGATGAAAAACTTGTGGAAGAGTAATAGAGTTTATCTTTGCTCGTTTAAATCTTTAGAGCTGATTAACAGATTTAGAAACTTCACGAATTTTGCTTGGTATGGAAATCTCCTGAAGGATGTTCCTTGTCACTACAGCTCTTGAATGGCAGATACGAATAGCAGTTATACAGAAACAGCACTGGTGACTGCTTCAAGTCTACTTACGGTCGATTTTTAATTGCTGGCATTACCTGATGCTCATCAAACGCAAAACTATAGATTTGTGCAAATTCTTTAAAGACAACTTATGACTATAATTAATGGTTCACAGATTATAGTTTTTACAACAAATAACGTGACCATGAAATTTATGCACTGGTCAGTGAATTGTTACCCCCCCCCATGACCCTCTGGAAAAGGCGGGGAATTTAGCACTTCCTTAGTATTAACAACAGCAAATTCTCCGCTCACAAGGGGCAGGTAGTCTATTAAAAGCCCCTATAACAGGGGATCATTTCTCAGATTCCAAACAAAACAAAATGCTGGTTGGGGTTTCATAAAGTCCAAGTATTTATTTATGTGACTTTCTGTCATGTGACACCTTTTTCAAATAAACGTATCAATTGGTAAACTACTGCAGACTTTGTACGAGTCACACACCTTCGGTGCGAGCTGTTAATTGCTAAATCACGGCTAAATGGCCCCGCTGGTAAAACGTCTCGTTAATTTCCCAGCCACCCCGAGCTACTGTCGTTAAATCCTGGCTGTGACCGCGTTAATTCCCCGCTCTGTCGCGGGTGTCAGGGATTTCAATTGACTGGTGCATTAGTCAGACTTCCAACACTAATGAACTATAATAAGGCCACAATTAAAAAAAATCTTTGTTTGCCCTCACCCGACCCAGACTGAAAAGTTTGGGTAGGGAGGTAGGCTTCTTTTTTTGAAGGCGGTCTTTTTACAAATTCAGCATGGTGTCTACATGCTTGGGTGTGCTTGTGTGGAGATATCTTTTATGCTGAATGTTTCTTTTGCTTGGTACATATTATAATGTATTGCCTACAGATTTATATAATGTACAGTGATACAATTTGTAAAAAAAGAAAAAAGAAAAAAAAGAATGGGAAAATCAATAATTTTTTTTGAGTCCGCCCCTTTTTGGCGGGTCGGTCGGGTGAGGGCAAACAAACAATATTTTTATCATGGCCTAAGAGGCTATTTCTCTCATGTCATACTTGTGAAAACGTACCTGCAGTTTTTGGGACGACATCAGCGAAAACCTGAAATACAGAAGAAAGAAAGGTCTTTCAGCAATCGATATCGCAAAAACTACAGTGCACACAGAAACAGCCGACAACCACTGAAATGGATGGGTAGCAAGGGGCAAAGATCAGACGAGTAGCTAGACCTACACCACGAATTTGTTTTAAATGAGCCCGTGCACCAGCCCGGTTTGACATGCCTATGGCGTTTGCTTTGCCTTGCTGGCCACACACCATTGCTCGTGACCTTGAACAAGACTATACGCAGCCCAGCCTGTATTGCCATTAATACTACTAGTATCAGACAGCCAATTCAATGACCAAACATTCGGGTACAGCAGGAAGGTCAATAAATCGATAGATTGTTGCCAGATGTTTATTGAGCAGACACATAGGCAATTATCCATCATATACATTACATAGCATACTTTTACAATAAAATTCTGAATTCATAAAATTGGATAACTACCAAGGATATATATACACAAAAAACATGACTAGCACACTTATTTACATTGTGGTCCTTGTTTTGCTATGCCTTGAATCTAACAATTACACTACTATCAGCAATAACTACTGAAATATACAAATTTGTAGTTTTAACCAGTCATACAACGGTACATTCTCATAAGACGATACAAACTTTTCTTATGCCTAATTTCAACCGAATTCTTTTAGCAAAAATCATACTCCTCTGCCTCTAATGTTTCTACCTTTTCTATCGGACATTTCTTAACACTATAAGTATAATAATTTACTTAAAACTAGAATAAACAGAATTTTTCCTAACTTGCTGTGGTAGAGAGTTCCAAGCTTCAATTGCAGTATAGGTAAGAGTTTTTCGCACTGCTTACCACCCTCGGTTTAAAAATAGACATCTCGACTTCCCTTGTATTGAAACTATGAACTTCTGATGTTAACGTGAAACCTTCTTTCATATACTGTGGGCCGAGATTATGTAATATATTAAAAACCCTATTGACCTTCAGTTGCATTACCCTGAACTCTACAGCCTTGAACTCTCTAGCACCTATGTGTGCTCTAGTACCTAGGTTGAGGACCCATCTAATGCAGTAATGGCTTTATTTTGACTCACTTGCAACTTAGCCCTTGTGCGCTTTGTGAGACTGCTGTACCATATACTGCTTGCATAGTCAAAATTACATTGAATTAGGGCAGAAACTAGTAATCTTTTAGGACGTGGATATTCGTCCGAGCAGTTGTTGCGCATGCGCTGTTCATGTTGTATTACATAAATGTAATATAATGCTAGTCTAGGGAGGCGCCTACTACTTAACCTTAACACTAATCTTAACCCCAGCCCTAACCCTAACACCAACCATAAACCGACCAGGTTCTCTTATTATACGCTCGGTTTCGTATATATACGCGAGTGATAGTACCAAACACTATCTATGGTGTATAACCACATACGCAACGCATGTATGCAGGGGCGTCACAGCCGTAGGGCTGCCGTAGCAAAACGCTACGGGTCCCCAGCCTAAAGAGCATAAAATAATCAAAAATCTAAAGGGTAAATAGCATTTTAGAGCATCTAGAACAGCGCATGCGCAACAACTGCTCGGACGAATACGAACAGGTGTCCGAGGCTCGGACGAATATCCACGTCGAATCTTTTACATACCGTGTTTAAATACTTAGCTTTTCTGGAAAGAAATTTCAATCTATTGTTAACCTTTTTTACAACCTTAATTCCCGTTACCTAACCACTCATGGAGTCTTCCAAGTCTATTCCTAAAACTGTATTTTTATGTGCAATTGAATTGCCACTCCATTGGCATTAGCCTAGGCGTGATTACATCTGATGTCCAGTTTTTCATTACTACCGTATCCGCGAGTTTGTGTTTACTCAGTTTAGCTCCAAAAATAATACTTTGTTTTTCCAAGATGCAAGGATAAATTATTATCATTGAGCGCATACTAGTATAAAAAGTCAGATACATGATAGTAACAAACTGATGGACAAAATAGTGTTGCAGTCGCATTCTACCGGCAGAGTACGCATGTCATTAGCGATTCAAAGATGTCCGCCATATTCAACCGCCAGTGTACAATTTTTACACCCCCTGCAAAACGCCGGTATATGTCAAAGCTAAACACTCACCTCGAATGTAACTCTTCCCATAGGCTGCCCGTCTGCCGTCAGGTCGAAATATGTCTTAGGATTACCCATGGCTGTTGTGAGTGTCCTAATAAACCGGCTAAATCCTAGCATCCAAACCACAAAAATCTGCTCACGGCGTCACGCTGGTGGAAGGACTGAATCACATCGCTACGCACGCTTATATAGACACGCACTACTTTTGGCGGAAATGCACGTTTAAATGAACTACAGTTAGAGCAAGCTATGGGAAGAGGCGCGTTAAATCTTACAAGAAAAACTGATCATTATGCTTATTTAATTGAAAATTTGCACATTTACTTTTTTTATTCGTAGGTGGTTTTATTAACTGCCGGGTACTATTTTTCGCAGAATAATCTAGAGAAATGCCAGAGGGTGGCGCCACCTAGCAATAATAATGGTTACAGCGCGCGTACTACAGGAAAGGTACTTGGAATGTTTCAATAATAATTTATATAATCATAGTAGGTGATTTTTATGGAAATAGTTTTTAATAGGTATTTCGAGCCTATTACTATTAGATAGCCGCGGTCATAAGAAACGGTCCATTGAAACGTGGCACCCTGAAGTCAAGAAGACCTCTGTCGATTTTGAATGCCCTACCCCCACATTTACGAAAATAAGGGGGCATTAATCACTGGCTCGGTTTAAGTATAGAGATGATGTCCTTGAGCCCTAGTACACTACCTACTCGTTGACAGTCAGACAAATGAAATAGGTATAAATTTCGTTAAGAAAATGCCTGTAATCTGTATTCTGTAACTCCTCACAGGGACATTTCGTGTTTATTTACCATAAACATAATTTAGAGATTGTTACTCACCAGGGGCGTAGCCAGTATGTAGCACTGTAGGCCCGGGGCTACACTTTTTTTGGCCAAGTTATCTTTTTTTTTAAAACACCCATAATTCAAATCCATAAGCTTGCTGGACGAGTTTAAGAGTCTAGGCAGGGAAAACTATTGAAATGAACGTAGCAAGAATGTCAAGAATATGGCTAAATTAGGTGACCTATTCTTCTGTCATCTAGGCTGTCATTTCTATCGCATGCCGTTTCATTCAACACTCTACCCGCCGAAAAAGACTAGGATCCGATCTTGTCAGTTTTTTAACATTTTAACTCGTTCGTAACACTATTTTAACTCGTTTGTGTTTTTTGGGTTTAAAAGTGATATTGAATTAGGTGTCTCAAGTTAGCAAGAGGTCAGGGAACCAGAATGAACACTCGGGAAGGGCCGTTTCCGGCCATCTGGGGGGTTTGTAAAACCAAAAATTTTCTTGTACGCTCCGCGCCAACCGATGGTGGCGCTCCGCTCAGATAGTCGTGCCTACAACTTTGAAAATCCTGGCTACGCCCCTGCTCACTATTAGTATTATTCACTCCTGATGTTATTATTGAAACGTTCCAGGTACCTGTGCCAAATACCTGTGCTAAGTCGTCTTCTTTTTCTTTGTAGGGTACGCAGCAATCTTCAAGTCTTTAGCAGTTTGTACTTGGATTCATCACAGCGACAGACATGGTAAATGTGATGAAAGGAATCCTAGTCGAATGGCAAGTAGTTTATTTTTTATTTTTATTTACCTATTTAGATTCTAAGGTGTAAGGTGATTCTTTTACAATGAATTTTGAGTTTAAAAAACTTACAAAAAAGTTATCACTACCAGGTATATGGCCCTATATACACAAAAAGTTTAACAAGCACACTTTTTTACATTGTGGTCTTCACAAGTTTGAATTATAGTATTAGTAGATGATACAGCATCTGCGTGCGTCGGTTACGATACGATAAGTTGATGGGTCCTACTGTGTTATGTAGACTACTGTCACAATTTTTAACGGCCAGGTTCTAGGCACATCACTTGTACAATCCTAGTTCATGACCCCGCAAATGTTTTTTTGCAAAGTAAACATCATATCTGAAATACATAAAAAAACTAATGTTACCCAGCTAACATGTAACCTTTTCGCATTTGGTTTGGTTTGAAAAAAACGTTTTTTTAAGTTAGATTAACGTTTTCGATATTCTTACTAAATACTTGAAATAAAAAAGTATGGAAAGTAAGTTAACGTTTGCTAATACGCTATGATCATGGGAACATCTTCAACAATTATAGCATGAATGTTGTTGGGTAAGTTTGCTAGGTTGCTGCCTTTGTTGATAGCGCACGATAGTTTGTGAATAATAATGGTTTCTTAACGTTCGTTAATCTCGTTTCACAGTGATCCGGCGATGAAGCAGTTTCTGCTGAACCTCGACGAAACGAATGCGTTTGGGAAAAAGTTTGTGCTGCAGGACCTAGACGATACGCACCTGTTCATTGCGACCGACATCATGAAGCTGCTGCAGGAGAAGATCGATGACCTCACCGACAAGCTGCACTTCCCCATGCAGGAGAAACCGCAGTAGAGACAGCGGCGAATTCACGAGTGATGCTGCGTGTTGCCAATGGCAACTTACTATCTGCAACCTGACTACTTCATTGAACTTGAGATGATACACAGGAGAACAAGAAAATTAGAAATCCGTTTGATAACAACTGACCAGTGTATTTTTTCGTAATTCGTGGCATCGTAACTGCTTACGAGGATGTTTGCAGTGATTGGCCGCATTCTGCTCGATCAAGTAGGGATTCGGGTGTACGCAGCAACGATGGTAGCAGGTGGCAGCACTGCTCGGCTTGTGTGGTCGAGTTCTACTCTCTGCTGCTCTTACAACCATCGTCGGTTTTCAGCAACGACTGTCGTCATGGTGACGCTGCGTCCGTTCCCGCATCACGAGGAGTGTTGCCCCCAGAACGTGACCCCAGCGCTCTCTAACCGTGAGAGCCACCCGCTGGTGGCAACGCGGTTAGTGAGTCAATAGTTGAACGTCGGTGTCGGCGCTGTGTGGTGCTGGCAGTGCCGTGCTGTGTACTACTAATGTCGGTTTACAGGGCGATTCATGCGCTACGATTGTATACGGACACGCCACGCTAGTTTGGTGGTGACAGGACGAGCTCCAGTGCTCGAGATTTAAACGATATTCTATAGGAATGAGCGTTTTGAGAAGATGATTTCTGATTTCTGTTGCTGTTATATCCTACGACTGTAAATATTTATTGTTCTACAATGTGCTCTCATTTGAGTTGGATCTCAACATCCCAAGTTATGAAATGGGAGATAACTGCGTTGTTATCGAATACATAACTCAACCAATGTATATTGCAAATGTTTGTTGTTGTTTTGTTAAGATTTATTTGTCAAATTTGGCAGTTATTAAACCATTTGTCGTGCACGTGTGCAGGTTAGCACCAGATGAGATATTTTACAAGCTTCACGTCCTACTGCACTCAACATAACCTTTGCTGAGGTTGTTGGAGAGAAAACACGAATAAGATTGACCAATCTTGCGAGTTTCACAGTAAGCACATACTTATATAAAATTATATTTTGCAAAATTAAGCAGAACAATATATTCACAACAAGAAGCTTACAGCTACCATAGGAACAGCTGTATTACCATGCGTATTAACCGGAATATGGACCCTTAGATATACAGTTAGGAGTCATTATCAACCGGAATATAAACTATTAGATATATAGCTAGGTGTCATTACCTGGAATATAGACTTAGATATATAGCTAGGCGTCATTACCCAGAATATAGACTTAGATATATTATATGTATATATATATTATATATATATATATATATATTTATATAGCTAGGTGTCGTACTGCTGGGGCCTTGCTCTGCAATCGTAACAACAAAATAAACCTCAAAAGCCATCGCATCCACTTCCCCGCGGCCGAGGCCCACATACACACCGTGCCGCCGGTTGGCTCTTGCCTGTAGAATGCAACGTATACGCTTTCTGTCAGGACTTCTACACTGTTCTGCTGCTGCTGCTGATAAACGGCTATGTTACAACCACATTAACTAGTCATTAACCGCGCTCTCTCCCTGTCTGTCTGTCTGTCTCTCTCTCCACAGCATCCGTTACCGTGCGCACATGCTGAAATCCATCGTTGCTTGCTCGCATCAATCGTGCGAGCGCGCGCCAATGAACAAACAGTTTCTTCCCGAAGAGCTTTCACGTTATGTGACACACTACTTGGAAAATAATAACGTATAGGTAATATGCCTGTATTCCAGATGTACGCGATCCTATCATGTAGGAGCAGCTACAGAAATGTCTCCTACACTACGATACAACCCAATTGGGGACTGTATACGCCATATTTTTCGCGTACAGATATTTTCGCGAATTCAGACTTGACGGACAATTTCGCCGTCGGTGAATGATGAATTATTCGCGTTGTTATTTTCGCGGTCGGGGGACGCGTTCGCAAAATTCGCGAAAATTAAACCACAGCGAAATATACAGCGTATATACAGTACGCCCCTGATAGCAGTAACATGGGGTCCAAACTTGACCCTGTAGGATGACCTCTTAAGAAAAAAATTAACCATCACCACTGCGCGATATATGGTCAACGTGCTGGTAGCCATGGTAACTAGCATGACCTAGCAGTGGCAAGGACAAACAACGTCATCTCGAAGCCAACGTACTCGTGCGGCCAATCACGACGCGTCGTTATTCTGCCCCGCTACGAACGTATGCATGCTTGGCGCTAAGCAGGTGGGAAGTAACACCACATCAGCTAGCATGAACGCAGACACGCACGCAGATACGCACGCACGCAGATACGCACGCACGCACGCACGCACGCACGCACGCAGATACGCACGCACGCAGATACGCACGCAGACACGTACGCAGATAGGATCGCGATGCTACATAGAGGAAACTACGATACATGTGCGTAATACGACTGCTTACACAAGACCAGCAGCCTTAAGCTGGGTTTATACTACAGACTTTGTGTTGGCGAATTGGGGAGTTGGACCAACTTCCCAACTATACAACCGACAATCATAAAAATTGCGTGAGCAACCAATCGATAGCAACTAGTTGGGAGATTAGAACATGTTCTATTTTCTATTTGAAATATGAAAGATAATGGATTTGAATTGCGGCCATTTTGAAATCCAAGATGGCGGCCACCGACCGATAATGATTTTGATTGTAATGGATTTCTTGACCCCGATAATGTTGGTTTAGACACCAAGATCATGTTTCTATGTTGAATATTAGCTGAAATATGAAAG